GCACATCATCACGCGTGTACAGCAACACACAATGGACATAGCGACCTCTAAGAAGGACACATCGGATCACGTTTGTTCACAATTAGGCGCGTAGCGGTCGGTCACGTGTTAGCGGTCACGTAAGCGGTTCGAAGTCATCCGTTAGTGGTCACATTGAAGGGATCGCATGACCTCTTCCATGTTAGTATTTACATACTTATGTTTGTGATTACATGCTAGTGTTGAGTAAACATTCGCTAACGGTCACATTAGCTGTCATATGTTAGCAATTGGTTACATGTTAGTGGCTCGTGAACACCTCGTGGTCACACGTTCTCCTCTTAACCCTTTCAGGGTCTTTATCGAGTTATCAGGTTACAGGGTGCGTGAACGGGTTAATAATCAGATTAGCGGCCTCACGTTAGCGCATTGTTATCGGTAAATTAGCGGTCACATGAAGGTCTGATGATCTTGCCCGTGTTTGGTGGCTTCCGACTGAAGATAAGATGCTTCCCATCCTCGAAATCTTGTGTAAGAGAAGAAACAACACTCTTGCACAAACATTTTACGACATGTGGAAAAGCACGTGTTTCTTTGCCCGCTTGTGGACCGCCACTGAAGTCGTTGAAAGCGTGAAGAAAAGGATTTTGAAAGAAGGAGAGTCGGTCATTCAAGCGGGAGGTATGCGAGCGCTTGTCAGCGGGTGCTTGCGACTGCTCTACATTCCCTCACTGTCTTTCCTCCCCCTCGAAAAGCTCTAAAGCACTCTTGGCTGGAATTAGGGGCTCTTTCACCCTCACAGGGAGCTTCAAAGCCAGCATGGGGGGGGTTATCACTGCTTGAGATCATCGAAGCCAGAGTTACCAATGCATAAAGTTGATTGAGGCCCTGTTTGATCCCGATGTGCTTTCACGTACTCGCTGGGATTTACTCGCGCTCGCTGTGTGTCCGGCAGCGAGACCACTGGTGCTCTCTGTTAGCATCCGTGCAAAAAAGACCACCCACTGAAAGCAACTGGCGACTGTAATATACAGTAAACAACTATTTATAGTAATTTACGATATCCGGTTGTTTCCAACGGATGATCATTTACAGGGCGATACGGTGGGTGACTGGTTAGCACGTCCTCCTCATAGATCCCGGTTCGATTCCGGGCTCCGACCTTATGTGTGCCCTGCGATTTGCTGGCAACCAGTTCAGGGTGTCCCCGGCCTACTGCCCAAAGCCTCCTGGGATAGACTCCAGCTCGCCCATGACGCTCGTGAGGCTCAAAAGCACAAAAAAAATAGTTTCTGACTCGCGGTTCTATCGGTGCCCGTAAGCGTCGCTGTGTTTGTTGTTGAAGCGGCGCAGCATTAAGCCCGCGATTGCATTTCAACCGAGGCGCCATGTCAGTCGCATTTCCATTTCTCGTCACTTTGCATTCTTTTCAAAACAGACGAGAAACGCTCACCCGCTTTGAATGCTGCGGCGACGGGAGGAAACTTATGACTATGGATGAGAGACAAAACACAAAGTGTGGCAATGGTGGCACCGTTTTTGCGAAGAACCTGTGCACTGCATTCTCTGTGTCTGCTCTCTGCTCTGTACACTCATTTCGCTTTTCTTCAAGGATATTCCTACGCTGAATAAATCACTACTTTGAAGGTTTTCCTCTTCTCAAAATGTCACACAATTTTGCTGACGTGTTCAAACGTTCAAAAACGGGCTACGTAGCTCCCCTTTGAATTTTGAAAAAAAATGCAGCCCAGTTTGACTTAGCGACACTTAGTAGTCATGTCGATCATGAGTAGACCACCAAAAAAACAAAAAAGCCGTGCCTGAAAAGACAGAGGAGGTCTGCCATTTTGGTTTAAAGCGGACATTTTAGTCTTATTTTGGCTACTTCCATGAGTCTTCCAATTTATTTTCGAAAATTCAGCCCCTGAAAAGATTTTGACTGAGCATCATGAAATTTGGCAGGCCTGTCTATCATGTGTGAATCCACAAAAAAAGTCTCAAGAAACCCTTCCTGAAAATTAATCGGAAGCAGCCATGACAGTCTTGTCTTGAGAGTGTTTGATTGCTCCCGAATTCAAACAACCACCTACCTCTTTACGAATGGATTACGTGCGGCTGAAGAATGGACCCATGATGCCCATTTGTTTTTCTCTTCAGAAAGTATGTACACCCATTTTAGCAAAGGGGGAAAAAAAATCGTATTCCCTTGCATTGACGATATTTGTTAAAGCGCCATCCACCTCTTCCTGCGATGATTGACAAGCTGGCCAACGGCACGTATTGCTGGCATGAAGGATTGCATGCATTTTACATGCGCCGCCTCCCCATCTATCCGCAGCCTGGCAGGCTGGCGGGGAGGTAAAAAAGCCAGATCTGAAAAGTCAAACATGCGCATGCATGTATTTGATGCGTTATGAGGAGAGCTCACTTGAAATAGGTTTCATGAGAGGAAAGCATACCGAGAGGGCGAGCGTGCCCGCAGCCTCGCCCGGCTCGCCATTAGAAACGAGATGAGGAGTGGAGATGAATATCAACGCGGCGCTCATCCGCCCCTCCGCTCCCTTCATCACACTTTGGCAGATTATGCTCACACAACAACACTTAAGAGGTGTTTGCGTTTTCGGAGTAAACGCTTCACTAGTGATAAGCAATTACGCTACTGCGGACACATTCCGCCAACTTTAGTCGCACATATACACGCACACATTTATATATAATAATGACTATGCTATTTTTTTCCCTCCCCTTCTCCATTTCTCTCAATTTTCTGCACTCGATCCATTCGCGGAATTGAAATTTGCACAGTTAATTAATTAGCACGTAATTCTGTGTTTACACGGCACCTCGGCGCTGGCCTTTCCACACCGCCGACAAACAGCCCTCTCACACCGTGACCAATTAATGCCGGCAGCCATTGTGACGGTTGTGTCACGGCGGCGTGGTAAGCACATCTACAGGGTTAATTACATTGACCCTTTGTTGTTGTTGTGGGGGGTTTCTTTTTTAATGAGTTCATCTCACTCCGGTTACTGTTGTCGTCGTCGCTGTGCAGCTCATGAGTTTTCGCCAAGATGCTCATTTATGAACATCACTGGAGGAAAAAGCCTCTTAATTCTCCTCCAGTGTGTGTTCTTTGTGTCTGTGTGGAGGGATTACTTTGGACCCCCGTAATGTTGCGGATTTTAGAGCAGCTAACGCGTCCGCTAGAAGGCATGCGAGTCAAGTAACTCATGTGACCAGTGTCACTAGATAACAGAACGTAACTAATAATGCAACACGTTAACGTAACTGACTTGCTCATGTCACATTCTAACTCGACTCGCTAATATGACCAACGCAACTAGCTCGCTAACCAGCGATCATCACGCACCCTGTTCATTTCACGTAGGGCGCTAGCATCATTGATTAGCAAATCTAATTGAACTCCCAATTTTGACATGGGACACAAACGTAAATGACGAGCTAACGTCACTTACTTAACAAACTACACAGTGTAACTATCTAAATTAACTTTCCCAACATATTGACTGAACTAGCTAACATACCAAATTAGCAACAACAACAAAAAAAGATTTAGCTCATGAAACCCACCAGCTATCATTGCTAACATAACTAATGAACTAACCAACCAAGCTAAGGACAAAACTAACAAATTGCGTGATTAAAACAAAACTGTTGCGAAACACGAGCCAATTAATGCATCTTATTTTGCATGCCAAAACAACGATGCATTTGGAGCGTCACTGTTATTGAGTAAGTGACAAATGAGGTTGAAACTGTCAGTGAGTCTGCGCCAACCTGTCAGTTACACCTTTCCAAAAATGCTGAGTCATCACGCGGGATCTGGCATATTCAAAAGGTTATACTAGAAAGGCTCATATCAGCTCAAAATGAAAGGCCGAGCATTTTCCCCTGCCAGAAAAGCATCAATCATGTTCCAGGAAAAGCAATCAATTAGCGCTAATTCAAATATATTAGCGGCTGTGAGTGTTTTTAATGCTTTTATCGCACACAATAAATGTTGATTTTTTTTTCTTTTTTTTTTCTTTCAGCACACACCAAAGCACAAAGTGTCAGTGCATTGGTGTTTGCATTGTATTTTGCATTAGCATGCCAAGGTAAACACGTGTGGGAGTTGATTGAACTAAGATCGATTTGTTTATTCTTTTAAGGTTTTGATACATTGTAGTATTTGTTTCCATGATGCGTAAGTTGTTTGGTTGGGAATCTTCTGGAGTGTAATATGCTGCAAAAAAATATAACGTGATGTCATGAATCTTTTGTATTTATTTATTTATTTATTTTTAATAATGAGTGATACAAACATCACACATCTCATTCGTGTTTATATAAACTTTATATCTTCAACGGAATTTTGCATTTGACTTAGGCAACCACTTTAATGCAAAATCCCACTTAACATGTGCAGATGCTTATTTCTTTGTCGTCATTTATGCATTTTTTTTTTAAACATCAGCTAACACAAGAGTGAAATGGATGCAGCAAACTAGCGTCAAATGTTGATTGAATGGCAAAGTGTAGAGCACTTCTCTCCACTCAGTCATTTGCTCTCCAGAAAGAGCGTTGAGACGGCGTCGCAGCGGTACTTCACTTCAATGCACTTTCACATCCATTTGTATGACATTATGTGACCTGCGCGTGTGGGTGTTTGCCTGGGGCTCGTTAATACCCGCTAATTGCGAGCTCCACACTCAACTATTACAAAGCGACGGAACATTTGTCTGAATTAATGCGAATCTTTCAACACCCACATGGAACATCACAGCTACAGTATATTAAAAAATTAATTGTTTGTTCATTTGTCTTAACAAGCCCAAAGCAGAGATGTATGCAACCCAGCAATGCTTGTTATGCTAGTTATGCTCTGCTCGAGTAACTACTTCAATGTAGTTAATTAACTCACTCACTTATTCTACAATGTAACTTGGCAGCTACGTAACAGACCGATGAAACAGTCCCTCTGTCATGATTCTGTTCTTGTGTGGCTCCAGCATGTGGCAGAGGAGGGCCTTCCCTGCGGCGTGCACACCTTCTCCCATGTTAAGCGCTATTTAAGGACTTCCAAGTTGTCAGGAGAATTCATCTTGCTCACGGTTCTGCCACCAAAGGTTGAATTCTTCGGTTTCCTGCTCTTTGTTTTTTGACCTCGCCATGCCCCCCCACCGACTGTTTTACCAGCGTCCTTTGCTGTACTTTGTCAGTTTTGCGACCTTTTTTTTTTTTTTTTTCGGCTAAACCTCTGTGTCAATTCTTTCTGAGCTCATGTTACTGGGGTCCAATTCTGTCCGGAACTTTCCAGAAACCCTGACAACTCTTCTTTTTTTTTTTTCACAGTTGATGCGGACCAGAAACTCGCTTATTGCGCTGTCATCTGATTCTTGGTGGAAGTCTGGTCCAACTTGAAAGCCATTATACGCTCGTGAGTCTCTTTCACTGCCCATCTGATAAGTTAGCGAGCCCATTTATCGGTTTGGTGTGGGTTTTTAGTTCATGTTTAATGTTCAGCCGTAACTTCAGTTTATTTTCCACCGGAGCTCTCTCATATTGATTTCTGAAGCATTGTGTGGGGCAATCGATGCGCCAAATAATGTCCAAAACTCTGCACTCTCTCATTCCTTGGCAACAAACTTACACTCCGCCATCGCCCGGGGCAATTTTCATTAACAACGGTTGAAAGCCAAAGAGATCTCAGCCTATTCAAATGACTTTTGAAGCATGACTGTTGTCCTTGAATGCTAATGGCAATTTTCTCCCCCAGGCGAACGTGCGCCAGGGAAGGGTGAAATGGCGAAGTCGCCGTCCGCCTCGGAGGATCTTCTCTGGGCACAATATGTCTCGGTGCCGTCAGCAAGTTGACCTTTTGTGTATCGCTGCCTGATTTCCCAGTTTGCGCCGGCTCGGCCGGCATGGTACTCCGCGAGTAAAGGCCAATCGTCGCGACGCTAAGCAGGCGGCGGGTGACGGCCCGAATCGCCGAGGCGCGGGGTAAGTGTTGGAATTTTCTTTCTATCGTGCAAAGAACCGGCCAAGTCAAGCCTTGCTCTTCACACTGGGGTTGTGATTATGATTTGTGAGGTTATTTGTAATTGTATTTGTGGCGTGTGGTGGCAAAGATTGATGATTGGTGATTTAAAAAAAAAAAAATTTAAATCTCCCAATAATTAAGTCCTACTGAAATGCTTAAATGACCAAAAAAAAAAAAAAATCAGAAAAGATGGAAAACAGTTGAAATGATAAATGTACCGTTTGCCTGCCTGTTGCAACGAAGCGACTGCATAAAATATTTGTAGCTGTTTGAGTGGCGGAAGGACACGCCGCCGCACCAACGCGTGTTAACCTCTGACTTTTGTTGGACCTCCATAACTATGAGCGCTTTTATTAGGGGCACGTTAATCTTCCCCTCCAGCGTGTTGGCGGCAGAGGTAAAAAAAATCACCCTCGTGACCTCGTCGAAGCAGCCCTCATCCGTCACCATGCGGTGCGACAGGAAATGATGGCGACAGGAACTCTCCTCAAGTCAATCAAGTGACCCCCGCTGTACTTTGTCAGTTTTGCGCCCTTTTTTTTTTTTTTTTCGGATAAACCTCTGTGTCAATTCTTTCTGAGCTCATGTTACTGGGGTCCAATTCTGTCCGGAACTTTCCAGAAACCCTGACAACTCTTCTTTTTTTTTTTTCACAGTTGATGCGGACCAGAAACTCGCTTATTGCGCTGTCATCTGATTCTTGGTGGAAGTCTGGTCCAACTTGAAAGCCATTATACGCTCGTGAGTCTCTTTCACTGCCCATCTGATAAGTTAGCGAGCCCATTTATCGGTTTGGTGTGGGTTTTTAGTTCATGTTTAATGTTCAGCCGTAACTTCAGTTTATTTTCCACCGGAGCTCTCTCATATTGATTTCTGAAGCATTGTGTGGGGCAATCGATGCGCCAAATAATGTCCAAAACTCTGCACTCTCTCATTCCTTGGCAACAAACTTACACTCCGCCATCGCCCGGGGCAATTTTCATTAACAACGGTTGAAAGCCAAAGAGATCTCAGCCTATTCAAATGACTTTTGAAGCATGACTGTTGTCCTTGAATGCTAATGGCAATTTTCTCCCCCAGGCGAACGTGCGCCAGGGAAGGGTGAAATGGCGAAGTCGCCGTCCGCCTCGGAGGATCTTCTCTGGGCACAATATGTCTCGGTGCCGTCAGCAAGTTGACCTTTTGTGTATCGCTGCCTGATTTCCCAGTTTGCGCCGGCTCGGCCGGCATGGTACTCCGCGAGTAAAGGCCAATCGTCGCGACGCTAAGCAGGCGGCGGGTGACGGCCCGAATCGCCGAGGCGCGGGGTAAGTGTTGGAATTTTCTTTCTATCGTGCAAAGAACCGGCCAAGTCAAGCCTTGCTCTTCACACTGGGGTTGTGATTATGATTTGTGAGGTTATTTGTAATTGTATTTGTGGCGTGTGGTGGCAAAGATTGATGATTGGTGATTTAAAAAAAAAAAAATTTAAATCTCCCAATAATTAAGTCCTACTGAAATGCTTAAATGACCAAAAAAAAAAAAAAATCAGCAAAGATGGAAAACAGTTGAAATGATAAATGTACCGTTTGCCTGCCTGTTGCAACGAAGCGACTGCATAAAATATTTGTAGCTGTTTGAGTGGCGGAAGGTCACGCCGCCGCACCAACGCGTGTTAACCTCTGACTTTTGTTGGACCTCCATAACTATGAGCGCTTTTATTAGGGGCACGTTAATCTTCCCCTCCAGCGTGTTGGCGGCAGAGGTAAAAAAAATCACCCTCGTGACCTCGTCGAAGCAGCCCTCATCCGTCACCATGCGGTGCGACAGGAAATGATGGCGACAGGAACTCTCCTCAAGTCAATCAAGTGACCCCCTCCCCTCAGAGTTGATGTCATTGAACTTCCTGGCTCGTTTGAATCGTTCACACCGGGCACGCCGGTCGTTTTCTTTTCCGTGTTGTCTTCGGGGTCACGAGGAAGCTGAAGTCTAACCCATGTGACAACCAGTAGCGGTATAAGTAAAGTGGGTAGACAAGACAAATACAAAGCGAGTACCAAGTCCACTTCCGCTGTGACGCAGCTTTTGACTTTTTTTTTTCGCCTACAAACGCAAGAAATGTCAGCCTTCACGCTGACAAGTATTCAGCCGGCTCGCGGAGAGCTCGCCGCAAATGCGTTTTATCAGTCATCTGAGGACTTTCCTGATCACTGGAGTGTCTCTTTCGCTGCGGAATTGAGCCCACTGGTGGATGAAATGGCGCGCTCCCTTTGACTTTGCCTGACATTCAATTGCACACTTTGTTTCCGCTCCTTCTCATTTTCCTAAAGCTGTTGTTGGGCTCCCATCTGGCTGGCTTTCATCATTCGTTTAGTCGAGCCTGGCGGTGTGTGTCACCCATCGGGAGACCCGCGGCCAAGCGGGGGAGATGTGATAGCGATGATCAGTTGCCGCCTTTCCGCACATCTGTCAGCCTTTAATTCTCTGCCGAGGCGTCCGCGGGGCGAGCGCGGGTAAAGTTGTGCTGCGATTCCGTGCGGAGGCGTGTGAATCCCAAGTTGAGATTTTAAAAATAAATAAAAAAGGCTCGACTCGCACAGAGTGATAGCGGCTAATGTCCTAGTGGCCTGCGGGATGTAAAGTTATCGTCCGCAAAGTCTTTTGCGGCTTGGCGGAGTTGTAAAACCCTCCACCTCATCGAGGCGAGGACAGTATGGCCGCGGAGATAAGACGCGTTTTAAGGGGCCGCGCTGTTTATTCAAAGCATAACCAGCCAGAAAGACGTCGACGGCGGAGCGGAATGTCACCGCCTTCGCCGGGTTTGTTTTATCGCGGCCGCCGTATAAAACGCAGGTGTTCACGCTGATTCCAGGCGCTTGAATTAAAAAGCACACAAGGAGACATTCCACCTATTTGGTTTTGTCCTTGAAGCCTGCATTCGACGGGCGCCGCAAGTGAGCATTTTTATTTGCTCATCTTCCCGGGGCCTTTCTCAACCCACCCACAACGGAATTAAAGCAAAATCCAAGTGTCTTTGGCGAAAATGACATTGGACCGTGATCCCAGCGGCTCCTGTCGGACATTTATCAAATGTATAACCGGGAGATGACTCTTTGTATTATTAATATTGGAGTCATTATCGCCATGAATAATTCATGAGCATGACTGAGCGAACGCCCGAAGGCTCTTCATCATTTGAATAAAGCGTCGTCTTGCAATATGGCATCCGGCAACCGCGGCAAACACCCGCGCTGTCATCGTCAGCGAGCGCGCGGGTGTGAGTTTTGTTTGTGTGAATTGGAACCCCCGGCTGTGACCCCTGAGTTCAGACTTTTAAATATTCACTGACATATCACTTGGAACCTTAACTCAGGGCTTAAAACCTTACTTCCAAAATGCCAGACGACAAATCCTCTTGCCGCGCTTGTGCGAAAAAATGCTTTGAAACGCGAAAGCGTCTCTGTCGTTCACCCTTTCCTGCACCCTGTAACCTGATCACATGATAAGCCGTCCACTGTCGTAACCGCTGTCCCTGAAAGGGTTAAATCTGATTTATTTGGGATCATTTAACACTGCCACAGCCATTTTAACATTCTTTTCGAGATTCGATCGATAACTTGTTTCCGTGACAACGCGGCGACAAGAAAACAGACGGCGCATTTGCAACATAACTACGGCGTCGCAGCGCGCGTTCACGTCCTTGCATGTCAACTCGTTTGTTAGGCGTCGCTCAGGGTCGTCCCGTTGGCTCACGGATAACAATGGAAATATTATCGGGCCGCGTTATGAAGTCATTTGTCGCGAGCGGCGGCACCGCGCCGCCCGTAAATCAGCGCTCGTCCGTCATTAAGTCGCGTAGCGCGACACATAAAGTCGTCACATCGCCCCCGCCGCCACCGTGAAGGATGTCCCATCCCTGCTTTGATGTCATCTTGAACCGTCCTAGCAACCCACTTTTTTCCCCGCTAGTCAAACTTATCATGGCGTTTCTTTTGACGCAACTGGAGAGTGTTTACAGGACATCGGGCTGAGTGTGTGTGCGCTCATGTCATTCTTGGTTAAATGGTTCCGAGCGTGCATTACTGATACATCTACATACATGGTATTTGCAACCCTGTTTTAAAAACCTAACCCTGGATTGAAACCCTACTTTAAAACATTAATCCTTGCTTGAAACCTTAACCGAGACCTCTTACTGTGATGTGCTCTACGCAATTAGTGAAGTAGTAGAAGTAGAATGAGCTGACATTTCAGGGCCCCTCATCTATGGTAGTGTGTGACAATGTGTGTGTGTGTGCTGGCATATCACCTGAATACATGCAGGACGATGAGGACGTTGTCAATTTTGAGGAGTGTCCTCATGATTTGGACAACGCAAATAGGTTTCTCAGCCTGTAATGAAGCTCAAATCCAATGTTTTCGTGCATGTCCCCATAAGTCCTGTTTACATGAGTTGTGCGTCATCTTGTCTTTGAACTGTATCTGAGGCAACACCCCAGAAGGCAGGATGTGGTATCGCACCACAATTCACAGCTTTTGATCATCAAAAAGTTACCTGTCCTCATAATTACGCACCTGACCACGGGTTTTGTCAATAATTTTGTGTTATCCCGGTGTGTGTGTGTGTGTGTGTGTGTGTGTGTGTGTGTGTGTGTGTGTGTGTGTGTGTGTGTGTCAGTGTCAGTCTGTAGTGGAAACATTTGGCGTTGTCGCGTTCCAAATGTCACCTCTTTTATTTTGTACCAAGCAGCAAATAGCAGCGACCTTCGGCCCAAAGTAGAGAGTGAACGCCGTCGCACATTCTTCATTTTCCGGCATCGACCAAAATGTCAGCGGCAACTTCACAGCGACCAGCTTCCTGTAGACAAAAACGGACGGAATGCACCCACCGGTCGTGTCATCCCGGATGCACTTCCTGCTTTTATGGAAGACTCTGGGATGGTTGGCAATGTTGCAATGCAGCGAAACCCAATTCATCATTGCCGATGCAATCCACACCAACTTGCGATATGTAAACATTACGAAAAATTTCATCATATCGTTTTTGAAGTTTACTGTGAGACGGACACATTCAGCAAAAGAAACTAAATATTGTCTTGATAAATATGGTTATATTAGCTAGTTAGCTAGTCAAGTTTAAGTTTGGTTAGTTACTTACTTGGTTAGCTAGCTAGCAATCCAAAGATATTGCTAGCTAGCTATAGATATAACGATATCTTGTTTTGAAGTTAGTTGATAATTAGTTTGCAAAAAAAGTAGCAGTTATCAAGATAGCTAGCTAGTCAGCGCGCCAAATAATTGTATCAAATGAACAATTAAAATAAAATGGCTGATGCTAGCTATTCCTTCATACTTACTAATTTCCAAAATATTGCTGTCTGAAATTGCGTATGGAGTTTCCCAATTATCACCCACTCCAAAACTAGGCAGATTTTTTGCCAAGTCCTCTCTCTCTCACCCCCTCTTCCGCGTGTGTGTATATGTATGTATGTGTGTATATATATATATAATTGAGTTTATCGGACTGATATGATTGCAAGCGTCTGTGCGCTCGCCGAGCCTCTCATGCCTCCAAGCGCTATGCAAATGACCATCTTAGTCTGTAATTGTTTAAGCAAGATTGATGTCTAAATTCATGCGGCGGTGGCACGAAACGCTCCCAAATGGAGCCGCTCGTCCGTGTCCGAACCTCTCGTCGTCTTTTTTTTTTTTTTCTCCCCTCACTCCCTCACTCCATCCCTTTCTTCCCCCGCAAAGCTTAAATGTGGCATCTGGACAGTTTGGCAGTTTTCAGAGAGAGGTGTTGAGCGCTGACTTTAATGAAGATGCATCACGCCTGTTGCAGATTTATCTCCCTTCGTATGGCAGAGCAGATGCTCGCCGAGTGAACCCGATGATTTTTTTTTTTCCTTTAAGCCCCCTTCCGCCACCACCCTCTCATCAACCCATCAAAGCAAAAAGGCACAGAGCCCAGCAGCATGTCTGTTTGCGGCCCTGCAAAGCACGCTGGGAAATGGGGTGGAGATGGGGAATGAAACCTGATCAGTGTTTCCACCAATTAAAAAGGATCCAAGAGGATGTCCTGTGCTAATAAAATGTACGTCAAATTGAGCTATAAATGTTGAAATCACTTAGAAATTGGAAATGTGGTTCGTCAGTTGGTTGGCTGGTTGGTTCGTTTGCGGGTTTGTTTGCCGATTGCTAGTCAATTTTTAAAATAATTTACTGATGGTAGATAGTTCATGTTTTGTTTGTTTGTTCGTTCCATCACTCATTCTTTAGTTTGTCACATTTGTTGTAATTTTTTAAGTTGGGCTGGTTCGTTAGA